GGGGGGGGGGGGGGAGTATCTGGATGGGGTGTGGGTACTGGGATGGGGTATGGTTATCAGGATGGGGCACAGGTATTGGGATGGGGTATGGGTATGGGGTTAGGGGGTGGGTGCCGGGCTGGGGTGTGGGATGAGGGTTTGGGTACCAGGGTGGGGAGCGGGTATCGGGATGTCGGTATCAGGATGGACTGCGGGCGTCGGGATGGGGTACGGGCTCCGGAATGGGAGTGTAGGTTTAGGAATGCGGTCTGGGTACCGGGATGGGGTGTCGGTACCGGGATGCGGTGTGGGTACCAGGACGGGGCGCGGGTATCGCGATGGGACGCGTGTTTGGGGTCTCACCCGCTGCATCGCTGTCGGCGCTGGGGGGGGGGGGGGGGGGGGCGGGGGCCCCGCCGTGGGGGGGGGGCCCCAGGGGGGGGGGGGGGGCGGGACGGGGCGGAGCGGAGCGGAGCATCGCGGCGTTCGGCTCTGCCGTCCGTGCGCAATGGCTGCAGAGATCAGGCGGCTCCTCCCCAACAGTGGTGGGGGGAACCGAACCGCCGGGCTCTGTCTGCCGGGCGAGGGGCAGCAAATGGGGAAACTGAGGCACGCAGCCCCCCCTCCCCTCTCCCCCCCACGGGGTGTCTGTTTTTTGGGGGTGCAAATATATTGGGGTATCCGGGTTGTTGGAATCTCGGGTTATTGGTTGGCGAGGTGATCATCGTGCCACTGTTGGGGTGCCCAGTTACTGGGGTGCCCGGTTATTGGGATCAGAGGCTATTGGGGGGCCCAGTTCCTGGGGTGCAAAGTTGCTGGGTGCCAGGTTGTTGTGGTGCACCACCTACTGAGGTGCTGCTGGGTTCTCGGTTTATATATGGCCTCTGACTGATTACTGGGGTGCCCCACTGATGTAATTCCAGATCATTGGGGTGCTTGGTTCTTGAGGCTCCCAGGTCATTGGAGTGCCCATGTTATTGGGGAGCTGGTTTATTGGGGAGCCCAGTTATTGGGATGCTTGGCTGTTGGTATGCCAGGCTGTTTTGTGCCTCATTATTGAGGTATCCGGGTTATTGGGGTGCACAGTTATTGGGGCAGTGAGGGGGGGAGTGATGGGCGCACAGCTGGGCAGGTGCTCCTGGGGTGCAGTGGGGTGACAGCAGGACGTGGACAGGGAGCAGGAATGTATTGGGGCAGGAGTGTATTGGGGTAAGAATGTGTTGGGGAAGGAATATGTTGGGGCAGGGAGGCAGTGGGGCAGGAATGGGTTGGGGTAAGAATGAATTGGGGCAGGAGTGGATTGGGACAGGGATGCTTTGGGGAAGAAATGCCTTGGGACAGCGGTGCATTGGGGCAGGAGTGCGTTGGGGTAAGAACGCATCGGGGCAGTGATGGGAGGCGCAGGCAGGCTGCAGATGTGGGGAGATGAACATCATGGGTGCTGCAGATTTCGTGTTTCCAAGCTGTGGGGTCCCACACACCTGCAGAGCTCCCGCGTCCCACAGCGCGCATGGCAGACGCAGATAACGCAGCGAGTTGCATCCCGGTGCTGCGGGTGCCGAGTTAAACCTGTGCCCCAAATCACAGCTCTGAGGGGGGAGGGAGATGAGCAGCAGCACCAGGAGGTGCTCGGGGGGAGTTGGGATGGGGACAGCACGCCGTGCCCTGATTTTGGTGGGAGGGAACCGGGGGGGCTGCGTTTGGGTTTGGGCTGGAGCCGATGGTGAGAGCGCATGGATGTTTTGGTGAGCACTGGGCAGCACGGCGCAGAGCCGAGGATGGTGCCATGCAGGAGGGCTGACGGCCCGACAACGGGGGTCCCCTGCTGGGAGGACGATGGTTTGGGAGGAAGGTGGGGGATGTGGTCCCCCTTCGTGGTTACGCAATGTGGTTCGCAGTGAAATCCCCGGCGCAGGGATGAGCACTCAGAGCACAGCAGATGGGAGCAGTGCTGACACCCCCGGCCGAGGAATCACGCGCAGGCGGTGTGAAGGGGGGAGGAGGGGGGAAAGGATTTTCCCAGTGTGGGAGCCAAGTGCTGCTCTGCAGCCCGCAGCATGGCGCTGGGGGGGGGGGGGGGCTCCTTTGACTTTTGTTGCCGCAGGGAATGGGAATTTGGGGGGAATTTGGTGGGCAGCTGAAGCGCCGGTGCTCCATGCCAAACTTCTGAGGGGAAACTCCTGCCTGGCTGTGCCCGCCTGGTGGCAGCATGGTGGCACTGTAATGTGCCACAAGGTGCAGCGCAGTGCCAGGCTGTGCCGTGCAGCGCTGTGCCATGCAGTGCAGTGCCAGGCTGTGCCATGCAGTGCTGTGCCAGGCTGTGCTGTGCCATGCAGCGCTGTGCCATGCAGCGCTGTGCCATGCAGTGCAGTGCCAGGCTGTGCCATGCAGCACTGTGCCATGCAGCGCTGTGCCAGGCTGTGCTGTGCCGTGCAGTTCCATACGGCACTGTGCCACGCCGTGCCGCATGGTGCCCAGCAGCACCGCCACCAGCTGGAGCTCCAGGCAGGATCCCAGCTCTCGTTAAGCCATGCTGTGGGTTCACAGCCAGGGGAAGGTGATGCTGTGGGGCAGGAGCCACGCGTGCAGCCTGGTGCTGAGACGTTTGTGTGTGTTGGGAGGCAGACCTGCACCCCAGGTTGCGGCGCACCGAGTGCCGGGCAGGGGCACAGTCTGTATCTGGGGAGCACCAGCACCGCAGCCACATAGATGCTGCAATCCCTCTGATTTTCCCATTTATTTCACTCGCACTGAGCATCCCAGTGCCGTCCCACTGGATTCACATTGCAGCCCGGCAGGAGTTGCCCCTCACACCCCAGCATCCCTCAGGTGACGTCCTGCGGTGCCACCTCCGGCTCAGCCCCAACGTCTCCGCCGTCCCCGTGCCCCTGCCCCCCCGAGCCGAGGCCCAGCCGTGCCGTGGGGAGCAGCAAACCCTTCAATGGTGTCAGGGGTGGCTTTGGGCCCCCCCCCCTTCTCAGGCCCATCTGCTGCCCTACTTGCATGCCGGCGGCCCCCGCGCTTCGCTTTCCAGGGAAAGTGATTTTCTTGACGGCCGGCAGATGTGCTGCAGCTCCTCCTGCAAAGCCGCTTCCTGCCAGCGCCGCCGGCGCTGCCTGCGGGCTGTGACACACGGCCTTCCTGGGGGGCAGAGCTGGGGCTTTGCGTTCCTGCATTGCTGGCAAGCAGGGCAGGCCGTGCTGCATGCCAGCGGTGTTGGAAACGGAGCAGCGGAGCTTTGGGCGGCTCACCGGGCACCGCGAGCGGCCGTGTGTCCCCCGAGGCCTCTCCTCTCAGCACAGCACCGCGTGCTGCTGATTACGCAGAGGATGAAGTCCTTTTCTGGGACTTTTTTGGGGCTTTTTTGGGCTGCCCTACTTGCGCTGTGCTGCTGGCCCCAACGTGCACAGCTCACACGTGGCGGTGGCTGCGGCGCCGCACGGTGCTTCGGGTGCCGCCTGGGGAGCACGGGACGCTCCCTCTGTCCTCAGCACTCCTCTGGGCTTTGTGACACCGCCAAAAAGTGTGAAAAATGCAAAAAAAAAAAAAGAAAAAAAAGAAAAAAATTCTTCTTTCTTTGCTGCTCCAAATGAATACAGGAGGCGAGGAGGACAATCCCCAATTATATCTCTGTGGTGTGGCCGAGGCTGGAAGGGCTGAGCGAATCGAGCACAGCCAGGAGTGTCCGTCATCCTTTTCTCAGCACCGTTACGGGGACACATTTCTGGGTCTGTGCTGTGGCAGTGCTGCAGTGGGGGGCTGGCTGCCACGTGCCCTGCACTGCGGCTCCGCACCCCGGCGTGCTGCAGGCACCAACGCTGCTCCTTCTGCAGCCACAGCCCCAGGAGCACCGAGGTCTCTCTGTCTATGGAATGCCACCAAGCCCTCCCCACCTCGCAGAATTAATAGGGCCAAACCAAGCCCTGCTCGCACTGTTGTGCCACCGCTGAGGTTGGTGAGGCCCCTTCCCACCCCACAGCCCCCATTCGCTGACCCTCACAGACGTGGGCCCCCCATCCACGGGAGCAGGATCCTCGTGCTGAGCTCACAGCGTCATGGAGGAGGAGGAGAGGGGCGATGTCAGCGCCGCAGGGCAGCGTGGCTGAGTGCAGAACTGCTCCGCTGAGTCAGAAATGTGTGCCGGGAACTTTCGGTCGCAGGTCCCACAGTGCAGAGACAGCAATTAACCTTTGTGCAATTAGATTTCCCCCAAGGATGGGGCTTCATCAGGCCGGAACAAAGGGCGCCTTGGGGAGATGTGGGAGCACCGGCACCCGGCACCGCGCTGTGGATGGTTGGGCAGCGGGCAGGCAGAGTCCTGCATGCATCCTGATGGGATGGATGGATGGACAGACTGATGGAAAGGCTGAAGGGACATCGTGGGGCTGCTCTGCTGCTTGGGACAGGGGAAGAGCAGAGCGCTCAGGCAGCATAGAGGAGTTCTGGGGGCCTTCTCTGACGTAGGGGAAAGCATCCCTCCAGTGAAGCGCTGTGCTGGGCTGGGGAGGCAGCAGCTCATAAAAGAGCTGAGTGATGGAAGATTTTCTCTGGAAAGAACAGAACAGCTGGCGGAGGAGACAAGAGAGCTCATGGGCTGTTATCTGCTTTGCTATTATCTCAGTGACTGCAGTTATGAAATGGGGGGGAAAAAAACACATCTGGTGTGAGAGCACAGCCGGAGCAATTGGGAACCGCAGAGCAGGAGGAGGAGAACCGAACCACAGCAACCGCCTTGAGGAGTGGGCAGCCCCAAAGGACGCGTGGAGGAGCACAGCACAGTGCTGGGCCAGACCCTCTGGGCTGGAGGAGCAGCTGGTGATGGAGGGGATGGGGCTGAGGAGAGCTGCATTCAACCTTCACGGAGGCAGAGCAGAGCTTGGGGTCAACCAGATGGGTGCATGGTGTTCGCTGGGGGAGGTGGCCCACTCTGCATAGGGGGTTTCCTGCTCGCACCTCTGGTCCATTCTTTCCTCCACAGTCCTCAGCCCTGCCCCATGCCCGGCCCCAGCCCAGAGCAGTTATTGCTGATCCACCAGCCCCTCTCCCTGCAGGTTCTGCTGCTGGCACGGGGTTCCCGGCACGCTCCAGTGTCTGCAGCGGGACTCAGCACTGCTGCCATCAGTGGGAAAACAGCCGTGGCTGAACTTGGCTGCGTCACATGGTGACCTTTGGAACGGCCCCGGCGCATCACTTGGAGGGCACGAGGCACCCGGGGAGCTCTGATTGGAGGGAGATGGCAGCAAACATCGTGTTTTTATGTCATAAGCCAGGAATGGGCTCCTTCATGAATAAAGGTGGCACGGTTTCACAAGAAGCGGAGTGGCGGCTGCAGGAGGGGGGGCTCAGGGCATCAGCTTCAAAAAGCCACTTCTTGTTACT